TTATTAATAATATAAAATTTATTTTTTAATATTTTTAAATACATAACTTATATTATATTATTAATTTTAAATTTTAATTTCATTTGTTATTACTCAATATATAAATATGCAGGAGAAGTCAAATAGGTGCTAATTAGCACGGTTGAAAAATCAATCATCCCTCAGCGCGCACGTCAGAAAGTGCAAAAAGCAGAAGAGGAAAAACAAAACGAAAAAGAAATTTATTTGTACCCACAGAGGAGGAAATATTAAAAAAACCAAATGAGTACAAATAATATATATATATATATATATATAAAATGTCGACATAATCGCGCTCATTTAGCCAAAGGTCGCAACTGCAAACGCCACCTTTGCTCTCAACCTTGCCCTCCTGAGGACCATCTATGTCGACACCTTACCTTGCTCTTTCTCGTTCCATCCGCCGCTTGCTCCAATAGTCTTCCATGATGGGCATGTGCACAGTAACATCATCTTGATCTTCGCACTATTCCTACAGTAATCATTATTCGTCTTCTCCAATTCTCTATTGTTTATTTATAGACGCGGTTTCTGGATTCTTATTCCCATGTCTTCTATAATCCAGGTTTGTGCTTCTGGGGATTCAAAACTTGTAATTTTTTTGCTTTCCCTGGTGTGGGTTTACGATTGACTGTGTTGCTTGTGGTTATCAGGATTTCTTGCCGCTGCTTTACCCCGATCGAATCAGGTCGAAGACCGGAGATTTTTCAGGTGGGTTTCTGAATCCCTTTGTGGGTGTTTCTGATTGAAGTTAATTTAGTAAGCTTCTTCAATTGGGTGATTGTAGATTTCAATTTCAAGGGAATTATTGGCGAATTATAGTTTTAATTGGGGATTCTGATTTTTCTTTTTTATTGGAAAATGCAGGGTCACTTTTGCGGAGCATGACCGACTCAATGACTGTCAAATGTAAATCCGAAGACCTAGAAACTTGCCGGGACGAATCAGCGGCGCTGATTCTTAAATTCGTCGCCATCGCCTCCATACTCTTAGCGGGAGTCGTTGGCATCACTATTCCGCTCGTGGGCAGGCACCGGAAGTTCTTCCGCACCGACGGCAGCTCGTTTGCTGCGGCTAAGGCGTTTGCCGGTGGCGTTATACTCGCCACTGGCTTTGTTCATATGCTCTCCAGCGGCTCGAATGATCTCAAGAATCCTTGTCTCCCTGAATCATGGTCCAAGTTCCCATTTGCTGGATTCTTTGCTATGATTTCTGCTTTGATTACTTTGCTTGTGGATTTTGTGGGGACTCAGTATTACGAGAGGAAACAGGGGCTGAACCGGGGTGGCAATGAGGAGAAGGCCCGGGTCGGGTCGGCAGAGGCAGTGTCAGAGTCGGACATTGCGCCGGTTGTGGAGGCTAAGGAGCAGCATGAAAAGGTGTTTGGCGAGGAAGAAGGTGGAGGGATGCACATTGTCGGAATGCATGCCCACGCGGCGCACCATCGGCACAACCATCCTCACGGACAGAACGCCTGCGAGGCACTTGTTAGAACTCGTGGGGATAGCCACGGCCACGGTCACGGCCACAGTCATGGGCACGTACACGACCATGGACCAGGAGAGGAGGACGTGGAGAGCGGCGTGAGGCACGTCGTCGTTTCACAGGTAGATTTCTTGTTTTCTTGTAAATTATTTTCTTGTTTGTTTCGGAGCCTTAATGTTGTATTTTTCCGGTGGTAGTTAAAAAATGATGTTCGAACGCTATAACTAAGACACGTGATAAATTGAAATTCTATTATTGTCATATGGGTCCCTTCCTTATTTTGCATTTCCTTCTGTGTTTGGACCTACTTGAGCTTGAATTGGAAACCATAAGACATGCCTGTGGAATTAGGAAATACTTAAAACCAAAGAAATTGGAAAATTTTCCTATCCATTTTGCATGTATGAGTTTTAAATTAACTAATCTTGTTAGTCAAATGCAGCTGATCCACCTTGTCTCAGATTTTATTAGACCATTATGTTTAGTCACAAAATTTGAAATTGAAATCTTATTAAAATTGAGTTACTTGTTATTTCAGATTTTGGAACTTGGGATTGTATCACACTCGGTCATCATTGGTCTATCCCTAGGAGTTTCTAGCAGCCCTTGCACAATAAGGCCTTTGATTGCAGCCTTATCTTTCCATCAATTTTTCGAAGGATTTGCACTTGGAGGCTGCATCTCCCAAGCTCAATTCAAGACCACGTCAGCCACCATAATGGCATGCTTCTTTGCTGTAACAACCCCTGCTGGGATTGGCATTGGAACTGCAATATCTTCCTTCTACAACCCTGATAGTGTTGGTGCTCTGATTGCGGAAGGCATCTTAGATTGTTTGTCAGCTGGAATTCTAGTGTACATGGCATTGGTGGATCTGATTGCCGCAGATTTTCTCAGTAAGAGAATGAGCTGCAATTTCAGACTTCAGGTAGTGTCTTACTGCATGCTCTTCCTTGGTGCTGGATTGATGTCTTTGCTAGCGATCTGGGCTTGAACAGTTGAACTTAATACAAAGATCATTATTCTTCTTGGTTGCATTTGTCATGGGACATCCAATTACTACCGGCGGAAGTCCATCGATGTTTCCCATTATATTGTACCCCGTACCATATAGAGGGATGATTAGGGTAAACCAAAATCAAATACTGCAGGCTTATATTGTGTTTTGTATTTAGATTCCAAATACCCTGTTTTGTTTCCTTGCTGTTGCTCAACATAGAAGCATAAAGGCCATTGACTCTCACACAGAAAAAGACCATTTCGATTATATCCAATGTGATTAGAATTTTTCTGTTATAAATCGACCATTATTTGTAATGTCTGTCTAATTTTCTGTTTAAGGATGGAAGAGTTTTTTGCAAGGTGACAAGAAAGTCACACAATTGTTGTTTTGTTATTCGACTACAATTTGCAAAAAAATTTTACAAAGATCATCAAATCAAAGCT